TGGAAGAAAAGCGGATGCAGACGCCATTTCCTCAGCACAGAATCCTCTTAGTTACTGTGTGTTCTCTTCTCTGAGCTGTTAGGGTAGGGATTTAGGGTTCATTCCAAATGGGCAGGGAAAAAAGCGAGGAAGAGTATCAGGTAAAATAGAGAAGGAAACAAACCTAATACTACCCTGTCGTGACCTGATATAAAATTGAGATTCAAACCTCATGATCAGGTCTCCTGCCATTCTCCTTGTTCTCTAATCCTGAACCACCGTTGCTTAATGCATGGTCAACACGATCTGAGTCTGTGGCTACCGTTTCCAGCACCGAGTCAATAACGGGGTCCGTCTGAAAAATGTTCAAGCACGTTTTCTTCATGAGCATACTGTTCCAAATCCAGTAGTAGCCAAATACAACTGCAAACAACTAGATACCATTTTCTTCATAAAATTAAACCGGAAGCATGGAGTTAGCTCAGAGAAGTGAAGGATCTCAAAAATTAGAGCACAACTATTTACCTCCTCGTACTTCACCGGGCGATTGTCGCCGTCGCTTTCAACAAGACTCGAGCGGGTCTGCATTGTCTTCATCTGAACATGAGTAATCATTCTGCGAACATTTGCAACGTGAGGCATTCGGAATAACTTAAAATTGTATGAAATTTTTCCCTATCCGAATTCCGAGAAGGTGGGTGGGACAGGGATAACCACAAGGTGGCGGAACTAAGCTTACGAATTTGCTCTGTCCCACTGGGGATGTTCCTATGTCCTCATGGTAAGTGGGCACCGAGGAAACCTTCACTTGCCCTCCCCCGCACCCTCCTCCATAGATACCACCACACGAAATCCTTGGACCAGGAGAGTAGAGACTCCTTCGATTGATTGCCAAAAATAGCAAAATTGCCGTCTCGCCACTTAGATGAGGTGCATATACCGTATTTGATGGTGGGACCGCAATAATTAGCGACCAAAAACAATCATTGAACCGAATACGACCCCTTCGTTCAATGACCCCTGGTGGGGACTCATTGACGTACGTTTGACAATGATCCACAGACATCCCGATAAAGAGCCAAGGCCGCCTAGGCCGCAGGGCCAGCCTCGCAACGTCCCTGCATCCACACAGGGAGAACGGGCTAGTGACGGGCCAAACCCAACCTCAGTGACACGCCCCATCATCCATAGTGAACAAATGTGTACCTTAGCACCCTATACGACGCCCTACAAAACGCAAAAAAATACTAGTCAGCAACTGTAGGAACCGAAGATAGACACGTAAAAACTTCAGGAAAAAATAAAAAAAAAACTAGAAAACCCACTAACCTTCTCCTGCGCCAGCTCTGCCGCGTCTCCGACACTGTGGTTGCAAGATCAACTAAGCCTTCATAAGCAGTACCAACCGCCTAAAACCGAATAATCAATACATAGTACCGGAAGAAAATAATGTTCTTAATTGAAAAAAAGCATCCAGCTTCCAAACAGGTCAAATAGCCCATTTTCTTGGGTGTGGGCGAGCATACTCGCAGAGGGGCACGCGACGACGCGCGCTGGAACTTTCTGAAAGCAGCAGCTGCTCCCCTAGCCCCTTTCACATATGTTATTCTTTTCAACGTTTTTGAAACATATCATATACATTACGTGGATCACATAGATAAGAACTAATGAAAAACGCAAAAAAAAGACCAGAAAGAAATATTCCTCGTTCGTCGAGAGTGCGTCCTGTACACTGGGGCGCCTTATACCCCGCAAAACAGGAATATAATCACTCTCCAATAATAAT